ATACCTTGGCTTTTTCTTTACCCACACTCAAGGCAGATTATAATAATGAAAAATAATATTTTTGTTACAGGATCTACTTGTGTTCATAAACTTAGAACTTTGCCTTCACTAAGCTCCTTCACAGTTCAAGCTTCTCTGCACTTAATCTGGCTGTTCCATAAAACAGCCTTCCAGATGTGCTAGCTTTCAATTCCCAAAACCTCTTATGCTGTCTAGGGATTCTGGGAATTGAAGTCCAACCTGTCTCCAAAAACTCCAACCGCTCTGGTTGCTCAGATTGACCCTAGCCCACTCACACCTTCCACAACTGACAGCTTCCCAAGGTCTCAGATGCTCACCTTGCTGTGGGCGTAAACCACCGATCCCAGAAGCTTCCAGGTGCCTCCTCTGCGGTCCATTCGGATCATGCGCAGGATCTGCAGGAAGCGCAAGCTTCTGAGGGCCGAGGTGGCGAAAACATTCCCTTGGGATCCAGCGGCCAGCACAGCAATGGAGGCAATTAACACCATGATGTCTGCATAGAAGGAAAAGAACTATATCAAAGAAACATTTGCTCCTCCATTTCTCCATTTTTCCATCATGGGACACATAATGGTCACTTAACCCCAACATTTTTTATGCTTCCACCTCCATGCAAGCTTTGTCCAGAAGACCAGCATTCCCCAAACTGGTGTGCTCCAGTTGTGTTTAGTCAACAACTCCATACTGGTTGCAAATTATGGGAAATGCAGTCATAACGTATCTGGCCAGGCTCTGATCCTCTCCTGAAGGGAGACTGAGGGGAGCATCAACCAACCTAGCCACAAAACAGTTCCTACCGATTACACAAAAGGGCTTGCGGGCGAATTTTAATCTTCCTCTCCAACCTCGGTATCGACAGCAGCAGCCAGCAGCCCAGATTCTTACAAAGTACTCTACTCCGAAGACCACAATGGTGACAATTTCCTGCAGCAGAGACAGAACCTGTATTTCAGCAGGATAACAACATAAGACAATCCTGACGACTCAATTCTCTGTTCGTATTTGGTTTCTAAGAAACCCCTGCTGCATCTGAAATTGATCAACGCAAAGGTGCTTTCAGAATAATCCCAAGGCTTTACAAAATCCAGTTCAATTTTTTCTCTTCTTTGCAAACTAATTCAATCTCTTCCTTCTTGGCTTTATAAAGTTCCAAAGGAAATCTTTTCAGTGGGTTATTTACGTTGTCCAGCTACACATATAATCAGAAAGAAACGGTATGGCTTCTGGATCTCCAAAAACCTAGAAACTGACCACAGGACTCTGCTAAATGTTGGCAACTTCTATCAAGCCTTTCCAAAACCAGTCACAATTGTTATGGAGCTGTCTTGATTCCTTTATCCTTCTGTCCATAAAGATGCTTAACAGAAGCAAGTCATTCTCTTTTTTGAATCCCCCCTTTTTTCTCTCTCTCTCTGAAATACCTCTAAGAAGGAGGTCTTCTTTCTGAGATTTTGCTCAATCTTCATGTTAAAAATGGGATTATCAGGGAGGCATAAGGCATCCTGAAGGCCTGTAAATTGACTACATCAGCAGGAAGTTCCATGTTACAGAGGAAAGGAACTCCAAGCCCTTAAAAACTTCAACTTCCACCATCTGAAGTGCAAAGGATGGAGGAAGACAGTCCTGCCTCAGTTTCTTTGCTTTGGGAGCTGCACACCAATAATTAAGCCAGACAATTCCTAATTGTTGATCACTAGGAAAAGCTGAAGTCTACCTCAAAAGATTAACTCTGGGTGACTTCACATAGTTCATATCTGTGTCGTTTTCTTAGCAATAATACAGAACTGGGTTGCCAGTGTCTTCTCTGTGGATACTTGTTTGACTTCCCAGTCTAGCCTATAGCCTTCGAATTACCGGCAAATCTCCCTTGAAGCACTACCTGGGCCCGGCTCTACTTAGCTTCCTGTATTTTTTTTTTAATTCCCTCTTCTTCCTATTAATCACAGCTTCATCCTGCCCCAATCAGATTTGGCTATGTGGTGACATCAAATGAAGGCAAACAAAGCCAGTTCTGAGAGAAGGTACAGCCTCAACAGTGGTCATGAACTAGCTTCATTTGCTCTCAAGAATGGTGTCAGAGTCCAATCTGATTTACACAGTTACAAGGAAGACTATTTGGAAATCAAAAACAAACTTGATAGGGACAGCGAACAGACCCACAATGGAGGTCTGTCACTACTGTGCAAATATCCAGTACAAGAGACCCATTTTCTCTCCAAAGGATTGTCAGCCATAGCAAAATGAATGTTCAAAAATCAATTGATTAGTAGGGCTGGGTTGCACTTCAGAGGCAAAAAGGTGCCTGGCAGGTTCAAGAGCTGTGCCTTCCTGCAGCTCTTTAAAACAGCTGCATCTTTTCCTGAGCTGTATAGACAACTGATGCCTGCCTGCCTTCGCATTTTCTGAAACACCTTCTTACATTCAGGTCTGAAGTTCCACACAGCCCAACTGCTTAATAAAAGAGGGGAATATTAGCTAAATGCATTGCTTTCCTCCCTGGATTTCAGTCCTATCCAAATTTCTACATTTAGCATCACACTTACCAGACTGTAGAGGGCCCATTCAGAACTCTCCTCATAATCATCAATGGTTGAAAAAACAGAGAGGACTAAGCAGGAGAAAACCAGCAGAAACCTGGATGGCACAGAAACAAAACAGAAAGAGAAGAAAACATTAATGCTGCAATCGACGGATTTTTTATGTTCTATTTTTCTTCCAGGCCATACAACCTGCTTAACTCAATTAAAGAGTTAACGCACCTTCTAAATTCACACAAAATACTGAAAATCAAAACTCTTGGTTGGCAAATTGGACTAAGCCACAGAAAACTAACCAAGGTGGACACTAACCAACCTTACCATCTGGTACAAATTGAGTTTTTATGTCAGCCCTTCAAGGTACACCAAACTAGGAAACCAAAGTGATGCATGCTAATACTACTTTTATTATAAGGTTAGAGTAACAGATCTTGCAAGCCTGAATGCGCTTCCCCCCCCCTCCCTTTATCTTCATGAGAACTAGCGAGGCTCACATCTGGGACGCTTTCTCCGATTACATTTCTACCTCAGACTCAGGTTTCTTTTATCTGACCATTGTCTTGGTTGCAGCTCTTCCTCCTGTTCCTCAAGGTTATTCCTTCTGTCCATTACATTTTAGGACTTTAGCTGACCTGGTTAGGTATTCTACACGATCCCAGCCATTTCATGTCCAAATTTTAGCTCCAGATTAAATATGACATGCAGTCAAGATCTAGAAGTAGAGCTACTATAATGAAACAAGCTCTGTATTTTGGTGGGGGGTGGGGGTTTGGGGTTATGCCATGCTTTGCATTCTAAAGAATCCATGACTCCTTAAAACAATTCTGTCTTTTTTCAGGATAGGGCAGCTGCTGCAAGGAGTCCTCTGCTGTAGCTGCACAATCCTTGAAACCAATATGGCTGCTTCATTGAGTTGTAGATGGGTGGGCTTGCATTTCTGCATATTCTGAAGCACCTCTTCTCCACTGAATGTGAACTACTGCAGAGCCCTAATAACTGAGCTTCAGCTTACTTTTATAAGCCAGGAAGGGCAGAAATAGTTTCAGTAACTCCAGGCTGACAAATTATTACTCTATAAAAACCTAAGAGCCCTTTTGGAAAACCAAAGATGGCACCATTAGGCCTACATGAACTCTTTCTATAGCTCCATTTTTTCCTTCTTTCAAATCCATTCCTCCTCCAACTATTCCTTCTCCCTGTCTCTGGTTTTCTTTCTGCCATGTTTGGTCCTCCTTCCTTTCTTCTCCACAATACCCAGTAAACATATTCCGCTCTAATATTAGGAGGAACCAAAATGATTTCCATGGATGGATGGATGGATGGATGGATGGATGGATGGATGGATGGATGGATGGATGGAAAAGAAAGCAATTCCAAAAAACATCAACAGAGAGACGAGACCAAACATGGCATCCATTCTGTGTTTAACAGTTGTAAACATTAAGCATTTATATATTCTTGTGAGGCTCACCAGGTCAACCGATCAGCTGATAGTGCCTTCTCAAGGAATCATAAGGCACAGTTAAAGACCATCTGCAAGCAGATGAGTGATGAATCAAGACTAATGACCTGACCATAGCAAATTCTCAATAATATAAGCAGATTCAAAACCATCTATTGTATTCCCCTCTAAACAAGATTGATTCTAGTTCCCATTTCTCACAAACACAACTCTTGGAAGCTGCAGAACCTTTGCATTCTCACAGACCTTCTCAGAAGCACATCAACCTTCACTCTTTCTAATGCCCTGAGATCATCAAATATAAACATTTTGTTATACATGCACGAGTGAGGAGTGTTTCATTTTCTTCTACCTAAGTAGTAGCCGAACAAAACACATATCAACCTACAAAGTGGCTGATACAAATATAGAAGGACATTTAGAAAGAAGTGCTATAATTTATAGAGAAAAACAAAACTCTGCAATATCATGATGGTGTCTGCAACTAGGTGACCTCAAAGGTTGCTGGTTCTGTGTGCCCACTGGATGTTGTCCATCCACAACATGAAAACTTTTTTTTTTGGTAATATTTTTATGAAAGTTTACAAATACAAAGATAAAAAACTAATACAAACGGAGGGAAATATAAAAAGTGAAGTAAAGGAAAAAAAGTACAAAGAGAGAGAAAAAAGGAAAAAGGAAAAAAAATAAGAAAAGGAGAAATATATAAAAAAAGACTCCCCCATCTCTCCAGACAAGAATAAACAACTTCAATAACTTAACACCTCCTCTAGTATTTCAATAACTAAAAAAAAGTCTTCTTCCCATATCTCATCTCTTATCAATAAACAAATTGTAAAAAGTCATCATTCAGTCTTATTCAGCAAAAGTCCATTAAGAGTTACCAGAAATAATAACATATATTATTTTACATATATTATGTAATATATGTAAACATATATTAATAACCTTAATCAAATAAATCCATTTTGTATCCCAACTTATCACTTTCTCTGAAGAATAAAGCAAAAGAACTCTTTCCCCATTTATAAACAAATCTTCAAAGCCTCGTCATTCAGTCCTGGTCAAGAAGAAATTCCATTAATAGCTACCAAAACCCACAACATATCTATTTTAACCCTGATCACATAAATTCACCTTATAGTCCTTCCATTTACTCTTTAAAATCTTGGTCTTTAATCCCTTCAAGTAATATCCCACAAGTGGATTTCTTATCATTTTCTCCTTGTCTCCTCTCAGGAACAGCTTCAATAGTTTAACACACCCCTTTTGTAAATCCAAGATAAGAAGGCTATCCAAGTCACTCTTCTGATTTATTATTTGTATATCCCCTTTAATTATTAAAACATCAGCCAGTTCCATTTGTAAATCCATTATGGCATCTCTTTCCATATCACTCTCTTTTAATCTGTCATTTTTAAATCCATTTTCAAATCCACATATTTTTCTATATCACTCTTGAAGTCTGGCATTTTTTAAAAATCAATTTTCAAATCCACATCCAAGTCAGCCTCAGTCTCTATTTTGTCCAATGAAATCTGTTCCTCTTCTGTAGCCTCTGTTACATCCATTTCTATAGTGGCAGACAAACTTGGAAGTAATTTCTGAGTATATTGTTCCCAGACAGTCTTAATTTCTTCTATAATCAGACAATATTGCTCCATTGTGTTAATAGGTCTCTCCTCCTTTAATTGTAATCCTTAGTTCTCTCTGGTTCCCTCTAGTCAACCTTCAAAATCCCCTCTTATCATATGTTTATTTTCCAATCAGCAAAACTTTCCCACTGGAGGATTTCTTACAGTTAATTTCAAAACCTTCATATATACAGTGGTACCTTGGGATACGAACGCCTCTACTAACGAACTTTTTGGGTTACGACCAGTCCAGCCGCAAAAATTTACCTCGATGTGCGAACTCCGCCTCGGGATATGGCCATTTTTCCACCCCTGACACGTGGTCCATGGCCATTTTTCCGCCGCGCCGCACGGCGCCCGGCCATTTTCACGCCGCGCCGCGCCACGCCGCACATGGCCGTTTTCGCGCCGCGCACGGCCATTTTCGCGCTGCACCCGGCCGTTTTCCCGCGTGGTCTGCGGACGCCAGAATGGATTAACGGTAATTACATTGAACCTTATGGGAAAATTTGCTTCGGGGTGCGACCAAATTCGGAGGGCGGAACGGATTAACCGGATTTACATTGAACCCTATGGGGAAATTTCCTTCGGGTTACGACCAACTCGGGATGCGCCCAGACTCTCTTTGTACTTTTTTTCCTTTACTTCACTTTTTATATT